CAGTAGGTCAGAGCTCTGGGGCCGGCGGCTCAGAGCTCCAGGTGCCCTCACTGCAGCTCAGAGCTCCAGGTCCCACCTCTGCCTGCAGCAGCTCGGAGCTCCAGGGATGGCGGCTCGGAGCTTGGGGTCCCCCCGCTGAGGCTCAGAGCTCTGGGTTTCCCCACCACCCAGAGCGGCTGGGAGCTGGTGGGGGGCCCCCCCGCCACCTGCGGCAGAGCTGTGGGGCCCCTGGGACTGAGGTGGAAAATGTCACAGAGGTCTCTGGAAGTCACAGAATCCCTGACTACTACTTCAAGTGGTGTCCCTGTGAGTGCTCCACTCTAGGTGTCGGTGCGTCCTGCGCCGGAGATCGGAGATTTTTCGTAGCAGTGCTCGGTCGGGACGCGCACATGCAGTAGCTGTCTCGCATTGCTGTTGGCGCCTCATGCAGCGCGCGTACAACCCAACCCCTTCAGTTCCTTCTCAACCGTCCTCGGCTGCAGACGGAGCTCCGTGGCGGTGCTGCCTCTTTGATAATTTCTGAAAAAAAAAAATTTAGATAGTAGTTTAGTACTTTAGTCTTTAGATAGTTCTTCTTAGAGACTTTTCTTACCAAAAAAAATATATATATGTAGTTTTTTTTCTTTCACCCTAATCCATTCCCAAGGCTCCAACTTCCAAAACTTCTGGGAAGCGAGCCATGAACTCTCCGAAGTGGGACTCTCACAAAAAGAGAGCTTTTCCAGCGAGGTCTTTCCCTCGGTGCCGAGCTCAGCCAGAGAGATCACCTATGAGGCACCGGGCACCTCTGGCACCGTCCCCCCGCGGACATCTGCCAAGCCCCAAAACGCTGAATTGGAGTCGAGACGTCATGTCTCATCCATGGCACCGACAACTCCGGTGCGGGACTCAGCGCAGAAACCAGCACCGCCACCAATGCCACCGGCACCAACTCACTTGTCGACTCCAGCAGACAGACCGAAAACGGCACCGACCGTCACCACAAAGACTGACCGCAACTCTAACGCGGCACTGGTGCAATTCCTACACCAGCACAACATAGCGGTCTCCTCGGTACCGCAGTCACCACTGCTCGGCGCTGAACCTTCCCCAAGCCGCAGATCTGAGCAGCCTCCTTCACCTCCCGCTCCTCAGTCCCAGCATAGTGACCAGGAAGGAGATGTGCACGACAGCCACTTCTCTTCCCAACACTCCTCGCCAACACAGAGGAGACCTCCATGGAAGGCTACCAAACCTAAGTCTCATTACTCTGGCCAGATGCAGCCCTGGTATGGACAACCCTGGCCCTATCCATCACCACCTTATCCAATGCAATGGCCTCCATGGGCCACATACAGGAACCACTACACCAGATCCTCCACCCCAGCGAGATGGGAAATCAGATCACCTCCACCCTCGCCAAGCAGAGAAACCTTGGAGATCCCTGAGGAAGAGATGGAGGAGGAAGGGGCAATCTCTGAAATAGACCAGGACAATACCCCATCTGCCCATAATTCATCCTCCTCACCGGATGAAGCGGTTATACACCAACCCCAACAGCATCCGATGATCTGAAGCATTCCAGGAACTCTTCAAGAGGGTAGCGAAAAATCAAGAGATCGCTTTACAGGAGAAACAGCATAAATTGCTGCTAATCCTACAAACCTCTGCACCAACTAAGATTGCCCTCCCCATAGTTGAGGCCATAAGGGAGCCTGTGGAGGCCATATGGCAAAAAACGGCATCAGCACCACCCACCAGTAAAAGGGCCGCTAGGAAATATTTTGTCCCAGCCAAGGGGATGGACTTTCTGTTTATGCACAGTCAACCCAACCCTCTGGTGGTGGAGACTGCCAATTATTGAGCAAGCAACCTCAATTCCGTTCCATACCACAGGATAAGGAACACAAAAGACTAGACCTGTTTGGGCGCAAGATATATTCATCAGCCACTCTCCAATTCAGTCTCTCCAATTACTCTGCTCTCTTAGCTAGTTATGACTACTCTAACTATACCAAATTACAGGATCTCATAGAAGATCTCCCTGAGCAGAAGCGTCCTCAGCTTAAGGCCATCATCAGAGGGTCAGATAATAGTTCGCACAACGTTAGAGGCCTCAATGGATGTGGCAGACACAGCTGCTCGAACAGTGGCCACAGCAGCGATCATGAGAAGGGCATCCTGGCTGCAGGCATCTGGGATCCCAAAAGAACTGCAGCTAAAAGTGGAGGACCTTCCCTTTGATCGGGAAAAGCTTTTCTTGTCCAAAACAGATGACGTACTCCATACCACGAAAGACTCTCGGGCCATGTTGCGTACACTAGGCACATACAGCCTGCCTAATAAGCGTTGACGTTACACATCATACCAGAGACCACGAGCTACCTTTTTCCACTGTCAACAGCAATGGCACTTGGGTCAAAATAGAACCAAACAACGATCACAGAGACAGCAGGCCCCGCAGAATCAGGCCTCGTCCACCTAACCATCTACATCCAAGCCACAATTTTGAAGTATTGGTCGAGGGTCCGAACGATCTCATCCCAATTATAGCGCTCCTGGACACTCCTACCCACACATTTGGCCACCACTTGCGCCCCTTTTACCATGTTTGGGCTGCTATAACAACGGACCAATGGGTGCTGGGGATCATAAGATCCGGGTACACCATCCCTTTCATATCCATCCCACCCACCCTTCCCCCTTCTCCGTCCCTCTTCAGGGACCCCTCTCACGAGCACTTTCTACAACAGGAAGTGGACCACCTCCTGCAGCTGGCTGCCGTAGAATCAGTTCCAAATCAATACCAAGGGAAGGGTTTTTATTCCAACTATTTCCTTACAGAGAAGAAAAGTGGTGGATGGAGACCAATCTTAGATCTTCGGAAACTCAACAAATTTGTACGCAACCACAGGTTCAAAATGGTCACTTTGGCTACAAAGTGCTAGACGGGGGGGACTGGTTCTCAGCACTCAACCGTCAAGTTGCATACTTTCATATTACGATACATCCAGCTCACAGACTATTCCTGAGGTTCACAATAGGATCCAGCCATTACCAATATCGAGGTCTACCTTTTGGCCTATCCACTGCCCCCCAAGTTTTCTCAAAAACACTCGTGGTAGTAGCAGCATACTTACGATACAAGGAGTAAGAACATAAGAGCGGCCGTACCGGGTCAGACCAAAGGTCCACCTAGCCCAGTATCCTATCTAGCGACAGTGGCCAATGCCAGGTGCCCCAGAGGGAGTGAACCTAACAGGCAATGATCAAGTGATCTCTCACCTGCCATCCATCTCCACCCTCTGACAAACAGATGCTAGGGACACCGTTCCTTACCCATCCATGC